ACGTCCCCAGGCCCCTCTTACATTTCTTTTGTTTTCCACTTTGAAGTTTTATTCTCACAAAAAAACAGAAGATTTACTGTTATGCAGACTACTGCATTAGTGTAGAAATGGTATAAATAATATTCACGCACTTGTGAAAGAATATTAGACTCACCAGTTGATGTGTATAGGACGCGTGGCATGATTTGTTTACTTTTGAACGAAAATACAGTGCAAATTCACTGTTTTAAACCAAAAACACGGTCAAAGCTTTTTTTTCTCATTATGCACTGTGTTGCAGGATTTTTTTTATACTGTGCACACTGACCACATAAACCCATTGTTTCATATGTAGACCTACCAGCTTTCTCTCGCTAGATTTGAGGGCGCTAGAATTTAAGCGTACTAGTACGTCAATAACCCTGGTGCGTAAGACGTACTAGTATGTCGGAAACCCTGAAAGGGTTAAAAGTGAAGCCTTTGGTTGTCTATCACTCGGATAGACAAGCATTGTGTGTAATTTTTTTTTTTTTAGATTTATGCATGTTAGACTTGTAAACTTTGTGTTAAAATGCTTTTGTAAGTGTATTTTTTGGGGTCTGAAATGGATTAATCTAATTTGCATTATTCCTAATGGGAAAAATTCGTTCGGTACTCGAACAGATTGGCACTTGAGCAGTCTTCTGGAACGAATTAAGTTCGAGTACTGTACTGAGGTTCCACTGTATATGTATGTGTAGTGTGACCTAAGTGTCAGTAGAAGTAACAAGATGTATCTGTTATCCAGCATGTTAATGAGATGGAAAAAGACACCAGCAATCCTACCATCATGTAAAACAATTACAGTGGTACCCCAAGTTTTGTGCAGCTTCCAACTTGAAATTAAAACACATGTGCAACATCTGGGTATCTTTATTGTAAATGTTTTGCCATCCAGTGGCTTTATCACTGGGGAATCTCGCCTACCAGTTACTATACCCTCATCTGCTACACGTCCCATTTCCACCTGACGTTAGTACATAAGCGCCAGGCTCCTTGCTTCTGCTTCAGATTCTCCACGACTACAGTGCTCTTCGCACCTACTCCAAGGTTGAGGGACTGATTACCTCATCTTCTGTACATAGTCCTACCGTCGTCAAGTTATGTCCTGGAATTTGTATTGATAAAGCCACTGTATGGCGAAACGTCTACAATAAAGATACCCAGATGTTGCATATATGTCTTAATTTCATCTTGTCAGTATTATATACCATTCTTGCACAACTTGTCAGACACTGCAACATCATGGAATCTTGATTCTGAGGACATGTACATAACCTTCACGACAATGACAACTTCTACTACAACTAACCCATCTCTTTGGGAAGTACCTACTTCCACTGGGGAATCCCACCTACCAGTGACTATGCCCTCGTCTGCTACATGTCCCATTTCCACCTGACGTTAGTATATAAGCGCTAGGCTCCTTGCTTCTGCTTCAGATTCTCCATGACTACGGTGCTCTTCGCACCTACTCCAAGGTTGAGGGACTGATTACCTCATCTTCTGTACATAGTCCTACCGTCTTCAAGTTATGTCCTGGAATTTGTATTGATAAAGCCACTGGATGGTGAAACGTCTACAATAAAGATACCCAGATGTTGCACATGTGTCTTAATTTCATCTTCTCGGTATTATATACCATTCTTGCACAGCTTCCAACTTGAACAATTATGTAAGTGTACAGTGGACCCTCGCCTTACGAACGCATTGCATTATGTTAAATCTGCCATACGAAGCATTTGAACGCAAAAATTTTGCCTCGCCTTACGTGATTCATCCGGAATGCGTCCCACGTGTGGCCTCAGCGCCAGTGTTTACAAGCCAGCCAGTGCGGTTGCATCTACGCATACGTTCAGTACATTTCACATTATCCCACTGTTTTTAGTGCTTGTAACTGCAAAATAAGTCACCGTGGACCCCAAGAAAGCTTCTAGTGCCATCCCTGTGGTAAAAAGGGCAAGAATTAGTATGGAATTGAAAAAAAAGAGATTAAGGAAATGTGTGCAAAGTGGGTTGAACACAAACCTTTATGGATGAAAATCACCCTGACACTGCTACTGCAAACCGTGGCCCATTTTAGGAAAGTCTTAAAGGAATGGGAGGTACAGAGCTCTATGGACAGATTTGTTGTGCGACAGAGGTCCAGTGACTCTCAAGCTGGTTCTAGTGGCATTAAAAGAAGAAGGGAAGTAACCCCGGAAAAGGACTTGCTACCTCAAGTCCTAATGGAAGGGGATTCCCCTTCTAAACAATAACTTCCACACTCTCCCCTCCTCCCATCCCATCAATCATCACCAGATCTTCAATAAAGGTAAGCGTCATGTACAGTGGACCCCCGGTTCACGATATTAATCCGTTCCTGAGAGCTCATCGTAAACCAAAATTATCGGAGAGCGAATCAATTTTCCCCATAAGAAATAATGGAAATCAAATTAATCCGTGCAAGACACCCAGAAGTATGAAAAAAAACTTTTACCACATGAAATATTAAGTTTAATGCAATAGAATAATTACAGTAACAACAATAACAATAAATAACAAAAGAATTGACCTTTAATGAAGATCTGGTGATGATTGATGGGATGGGAGGAGGGGATGGTGTGGATGGTGTTAGCATTTAGAAGGGGAATCCCCCTCCATTAGGACTTGAGGTAGCAAGTCCTTTTCTGGGGTTACTTCCCTTCTTCTTTTAATGCCACTAGGACCAGGTTGAGAGTCACTGGACTTGTATCGCACAACATATCTGTCCATAGAGGCCTGTACCTCTCATTCCTTATGACCAGCTCTGACACACGCACTCCACTTTCGTACTTTGCAATTATCTCTTTCTTCATTTCAGCACTCATTAGCACCCTTGGTCTTGAAGGGTTGGCACTGGGAGCTTTTTTGGGGCCCATGGTGACTTATTTTGCAGAAACAGGCACCAAAAACAGTGATAATATGGATAATATGGAATGTACCGAATGTATCCTTAGATGCGCGCTCACTGGCTGGCTTGTAAACACTGGCACACAAGGGGCAGTTCAGGCCACACGTGGACACGTCTCGTACGCATCGTATCGCATACTGGGTTTTGTATCGGGAAGTGAGGCAAATATTTTTGATCAAATGCATCGGCTACCGGATTTATCAGATACCGATAGCATCGGGAACCGGGGGTCCACTGTATTCTATTCTTAGTAGAGTAGTAATTGTGCATGTCTTCTTCAGTTTGTGTGTATTAAAGTTAATATTTCATGTGGTAAAAATTTTTTTTTTTTCATACTTTGGGGTGTCAGGAACAGATTAATATGATTTCCATTATTTCTTATGGGGAAAAATAATTCGGCTAACGATAATTTCGGCTTATGATGAGCTCTCAGGAATGGATTAATATCGTAAGGCAGGGGTCCACTGTATTATTGTAAGTGCTTTTGTAAGTGTATTTTTGGGGGTCTGAAACGGACTAATCTAATTTACATTATTCCTTATGGGAACAAATTCGTTCAGTAATGGCACTCGAACAGCCTTCTGGAACATGTTATGGCTGAAACTCAGGGTACCACTGTTCAGGTTTCCATTTCACGCTCATTGGCAGGATGATAATACCTCCTTGGGTGGTTGCTGTCTACCAGCCTACTACCTAGCAGTATGATTTTGTTGCAGAGAAATTTTGGAAGAGTGCAAAATTTGGGTAATACCTTATGTAGATTATATCAACTTGCTTGCTGGACCATGAGTGGTGCCCCATCAACCTTTCACCATTCCGACTAAGCAAGATCAAGAATTATTATTTTCCTTATTCTTTCTTTCAACAAACTGGCTGTATCCCAGTGAGGCAGGGTGGCCCAATAAGAAAAACAAAAGTTTCTCTTTTTAAATTTAGTAATTTATACAGGAGAAGGGGTTACTAGCCCCTTGCTCCTGACATTTTAGTCGCCTCTTACAACACGCATGGCTTACGGAGGGAGAATTCTGTTCCACTTCCCCATGGAGATAACAGGAAATAAACAAGAACAAGAACTAGTAAGAAAATAGAAGAAAGCCCAGAGGGGTGTGTATATATATATATGCTTGTACATGTATGTGTTGTGTGACCCTAGTGTAAGAAGTAGCAGCAAGGCGTACCTGAAATCTTGCATATTTATGAGACAGAAAAGACACCAGCAATCCTACCATCATGTAAAACAATTACCGGTTTCCGTTTTACACTCACTTGGCAGGATGGTAGTACCTCCTTGGGCGGTTGCTGTCTATCAACCTACTACCTAGGTTTTTCCTTATTATTATTATTATTATTATTATTATTATTATTATTATTATTATTATTATTATTATTATTATTATTATTCTTTCAACACACTGGCCATATCCCACCAAGGCAGGGTGGCCCAAAAAGAAAAACGAAAGTTTCTCTTTTAAATTTAGTAATTTATACGGGAGAAGGGGTTACTAGCCCCTTGCTCCCAGCATTTTAGTCGCCTCTTACAACACGCATGGCTTACGGAGGAAGAATTCTGTTCCACTTCTCCATGGAGATAAGAGGAAATAAACAAGAACAAGAACTAGAAAGAAAATAGAAGAATACCCAGAGGGGTGTGTATATATATATGCTTGTACATGTATGTGTAGTGTGACCTAAGTGCAAGTAGAAGTGGCAAGACATACCTGAAATCTTGCATGTTTATGAGACAGACAAAAGACACCAGCAATCCTACCATCATGTAAAACAATTACAGGTTTTCATTGTACACTCACTTGGCAGGATGGTAGTACCTCCCTGGGCGGTTGCTGTCTATCAACCTACTACCTAGGTTTTTCCTTATTATTATTATTATTATTATTATTATTATTATTATTATTATTATTATTATTATTATTATTTTTACTTATAACCTGTGAATGCTTAATTTATTTGAAGCTGATTGTCTAAAATGTTTTGAAGAGAGTATTTAGTGTTCAAGAATCCACAAAAGTTCAGTATCATAATTTCACTAGTTACACATTTCTGTACTTTTTACAGTAATTTATCTGCTCTAGCTGTATTTCTATAATTGTTAAATATGTTGGTGATTGATAATAAAGAGTGAATAAGTGTTTTAAAAAGAAAATTGTGTTGTGGTGGTATAGTGTGTTCTTAACAGGCTCGGGTATAACATCATCTAACTACCCAGATACATGGGCATATTCTAGTGAATCCCTACACTTTGCTATGTAAGGCAAAATGTGTTTATATGGTTGCCTAATGAAGTGAGGAAAGATGCCTGGCCAAGTCTGCTACCACTGTTTTCATATTATCAACATGTCAGTAATTTTTCCTATAGGTTTTTCAGTATATACTGCTCTGATTTTCAGGAAACTAACACACACATTATGAGAGGGTTTACTGTAATATTATTCTGGATTTTCTCTCACATGTTATTTCCAATTTTTGACAGTTACGTAACAATCAAAGTATATCTGTTGATAACCAAAGCAGTCCTGAGCCTCCAGAACTTATACCTCCACTTACGCTAGTCGCTCCCTGGTGCTTCAGAGTAAGTTTACGTTCGTATTTCATTTGATATGGTGTATCTTGTTTTTCTGTTATGTATGCTGCATATATACTCACTACTTCATAAACTTTTGAAATACAACAGATAAATTTTGGAAATGGTAATTAGTTTTTCTTAATGTTATATAACATGTCTTTAGTTATAGAACTCATGGAATGGGTAGGACTCAGACCTATTGTTGTCTAGGTCTGATTATTTGACCTAAATCTTTGTCTTAGTGGATACTTTATGGTTTTGAGGTGCTGGCCTCATATCCAGTCTTTCCCAAAAGACAAAAGTAGAGATGTAAATGGAACTAACACCATCTACACCTTTGTTCCTAGATAATAAATTTAATGGGTTATACACTAGACAGTTTTCATCAGAAATGTTCAAAAGCTTTTCTTGTTCATATTCATGTCATCAGGAGTAAAATCTTGTACTTATTTAGATTTTATGTTTTACAATATCTTTTACTAATTGACATTTACAGTGCCTTCTCATTCTATGACAGTTGTACATTTGTGGATGCACATCTCATCTTTTACTTCATATTTTTCTCACTAGATTTATTTTTTTACTAGTAAGACAAAATAACATATAGTATATATACTTTTAATTAACATGAAATATATTTTAAGCTGCTCTATATTGACATTAGATGTTTTTATAATTACTTCTTTTTTGCAAGTTCACTAATGTTTTTATCTCCACCAGGCCCTGACTTTACCGCCCCCATTTCACCGGGGTAAAACTTTGGCGTACCGATTACTATGCATGATGATTGTGCGGCAGCATGATCTTCAGCCTCCCCGCGACATACTCACACATTTCTATAGAATATTACATCAGGGTCTTGTTGGTCAAGACCAGGTAAGGGTATTTTCTTTTGCAGAGTATGTAGAATTAACTGTGCTGGAAATAATAAGCAAAAACATCAAGGCAACTATTTTAGGAGCTTTTTTATTTTTTGACTTCACTCTTGTTTGGTAATGGAATGCATGTGTCTAATATTAGGGTTCATATGCTTGTGTGTCTAATACAGTATCAGGGTTCAAAAGAATATAAGAATGGAGCATCACTGCAGTAGGCTTACTGGCTCATGATAGGCATGCCCTTATCAGATCCAACCGTCTCATTCATAAAGAATAAAAAGGCACAGTACCGTGACTGGCACAATGCACAAATGACCCACACATAGGAGAATGAAACTTATGATGATGTTTTGGTCTGACATAGACCATTTACTACGTCATGATCCAAGTTGGACTGAAACATCATCATAAGTTTTGTTCTCCTATGTGTGGGTTATTTGTGATTAATTTCTCATTCTCATATTGTACAGTTGTAACTGATTTATTAGCATATTTGGAAGTGTTTGGAATTTTAACTCTACAAGACCCATATGTTCTTCATCTTGCATAACATAACCTCTGCATTTTGAGAGGGTTTCTGTATTTTTTTTTTCAACAAGTCGGCTGTCTCCCACTGAGGCAGGATGACCCAAAAAGAAAGAAAATCCCCAAAAAGAAAATACTTTCATCATCATTCAACACTTTCACCTCACTCACACATAATCACTGTCTTTGCAGAGGCGCTCAGACACGACAGTTTAGAAGTCCCTCCAGACTGTCAATATCCCAGACCCCTCCTTTAAAGTGCAGGAATTGTACTTCCCATTTCCAGGATTCAAGTCTGGCTAACCCGTTTCCCTAAATCCCTTCACTAAATATTACCCTGCTTGTCAGGTCCATTCATCTCCATTCACTTGTCAGGTCTCAGAAACCATTTGTCTCCATTCACTCCTGTTTAACATGCTCACACATGATTGCTGGAAGTCCAAGCCCCTCGCCCACAAAACCTCCTTTACCCCCTCCCTGCAACCTTTTTGAGGACGACCCCTTCCCCTCCTTCCTTTTCCCACAGATTTATACACTGTCCAAGTCATTCTACTTTGATCCATTCTCTCTAAATGACCAAACCACCTCAACAACCCCTCATCATTCCTCTGACTAATACTTTTATTAACTCTGCACCTCCTAATTTCCACACTCCGAATTCTCTGCTTATCATGTTTAATTGAGCCTTAATGAATTAGTGTACAAATAAAGAAGTATTGACATTATACATCACCTCCAAGGAGAATTTATTTTTTTTTATATTTATTTTTATTTTATTATTTGGACATGATACATAGTTGTACAAAGAAATACAGTGATTGAGTGTACATGTCAAAAGCCCCTTGTATGCAGAGCATTATGGGCAGGCTTAAAATTAACTTAAGATTAATTAAGCAATGATATATTCAGGGTAAAAATTACGGTAAACAAATTACAACATGAAGTACAAATGAATCTTTCAAATAAGAAACTTTATAGTTGTACAAATTGGTAGCATAATAATTTATAATGTAATCTGGTCAAATCGAATAAAATCAATGATTTGTAGTGCAGAAACAGGTCATGTGGTCATTAGATGAGTTAATGTGCATTCAAGAGAATGGGGGTGTTCTATTAGGTAATGTGATTGAAAAACATAGTTTGATAGGGTCACAGGTTATACATTTATGAGATACAGTTATTCAGTATTTATTTAATTGTGGGTGAGTAAGTGGTTTTTAAGAAGAGTCTTGAATTGATAAACAGACAGTATTTCTTTTATATTCACAGGTAATGAATTCCAGATTTTTAGGCCTTTTATGTGCATTGAGTTTTTACATAGTGTGAGATGGGCACGAGGAACATCCAAGAGTGATTTGTGCCTTGTGTTATGGTCATGTGTTCTGTTGAGGTTGGTAAGGAGAAGTTTGAGGGGAGAGTTTATATCCGAGTTTAGTGTTCTATGTATGTAGTAGGCACAATGATAAGTATGGATTTATTTATTTTATTTATTTATTTATTTACAATTTGAGCACACATACAGAGGTACAAAAAAATACAGATAAGAGCAGCATGCCAAAGCCACTTATACTATGCATAGCATTATGGGCTGGCTTAAAATTAACTAAAGATTAACTAAGCAATGATGAAATCAGTGATAAAACATTACTGTAAACAGATTACTATAAAGCACAAGTGAGTATTACAAAGACAGGTCATATGGTTGCATGCATTGTTGTACATTCAGTCGTATGGAGTATTCTGTTAGGTAGTGTATTTAAAAAATAATAAAGTTAGATTGGGTTTTAGGTTTAACATTTATGTGATATAATTGTGAGAAACATTTAAGATATACAATTTATAAGGTTCAGTTATTCAGTATTTATTTGGTTTTGGGTGAGTAAGTGATCTTTGAGAAGAGATGGATGTTTTGTACGGTGAGTAAGTTTAGAGTTTTGAATATTGGTGGAGTGTGCTGCCTGGAGTGGGAATTTGTTATCATTCTGACTGCAGCCTTTTGTTGGGTAATTAGTGGTCTGAGATGGTTTGTTGTTGTTGAGCCCCATGCACAAATTCCATAGGTGAGATTGGGGTAAATGAGTGAGTGATATAGAGCCAGGAGGGCTGACTGTGGAACATAGTACCGTATCTTCGATAGTATGCCTATGGTCTTGGAGATTTACTTGGAAATTTGTTGTACATGTGTTTGAAATTTGAGTTTATTATCAAGGTGGATTCCTAGGAATTTTCCCTCTGTGAGCTTTGTGATAGGTGATCCGTTTGTCATTATGTCAAGAGGAACATCTGTAGTTCTGTTTCCAAACTGAATGAAGTAGGTTTTGTCAATATTGAGAGTAAGTTTGTTAATCATCATCTAGGTAGATATTTTCTGTAATTCAGTATTTACTGTATTTTCTAGCATGATTGGGCTTGGGTGAGAGAAGACATAAGTAGTGTCATCTGCAAATAGTGTGGGATTGAGTAGTTGCGATGCATTTGGTAGGTCGTATTGATGGTAAGGATTAATTAACTTGACTTCAACAGAAGTGGTACTGATGACTTTAAATTTACCAGGAACTCTCTTCTTCATCTTAGCTGTCTTCTCCATTACTCTAACTCCAGGAAAATACAAAATCTTAGGTAGCTGCTTATTTTATAATTCCCTTCCAAAGGGTGGCTTGGTACAGGTGAAGGGCTCTTCATTCAAGGAATTAGACCTGCTCCCCTTTTTCACATCAAACTGATTATCCTTTTTCCTCCAGTTCCACGGACATTGTGTGTCTCTTAGAGGTTTAGTGCTTCCCGATATATATCATAATATAATTATCTTTGAATACTTTTCAGCTTAAATTTTAACTCATTCTTGCAACTACTGTTCTTACAGGAAATTATTAATACTCTAGTGGCAGAGTGTGGACCAAGCTTCTTTTCCCTGAGTCTGCCAGGTGCTACAATGCTCACCCTTGATTTCATTTTTGCCACAAACACAGTCATCACATCTCCTGATACCAAAGTTGTAAGTACATAAGCATTATCTTCTTTTGTAACTATATGAAGAAATAATTATATTGCTAGTAGGTTTATTATCTCTAGAATCAAGTTACCTATGAGTGGAAGAACTGCTAATGTTCCAAATTTCATTTTTTCTTTTTTTTTTGGTTAAATTGTTATTCAAGTTGATCAAGTTTTTTCACCAAAAGTGTATTTGCAGTAAATATGATAAGCATATAGTATGATATTTCAAAAAGCATTACAATTTGAGAAGCACAGTACTACAGCAAGTCCCCTAATATCCAAAACATTTTAGCAAGGACGTGTGCAGTGAGTATATGGAAAGTAAAAGAAAGGTGAAGAGAGTTGTGAGAGAGTGCAGAAGGTGAGCAAATGATAGAGTGGGAAAGGCATTGTCAAAATATAATGCTGAAAATAAGAAGCAATTTTGGAGTGAGATAAACAAGAAAGCCTAGGGAATGCATGGATTTGTCAGTTAAAAACAGAGTAGGGGAATTAGTTGATGGGGAATTGGAGGTACGTATTGGGTAGATGGTGGGAATATTTTGAGGAACTTTTAAATGTTGATGAAGAAAGGGAGACAGTAATTTCGTGCACTGGCCAGGGAGGTATAACATCTTTTAGGAGTGAAGAAGAGCAGGATGTGAGTGTGGGGGAGGTAAATGAGGCATTACATAGAATGAAAGGGGGTAAAGCAGCTGGAACTGATGGGATCATGACAGAAATTTTAAAAGCAGGGCAGGATCTAGTGTTGGAGTGGTTGGTGTTTTTGTTTAATGAATGTATAAAAGAGGAGAAGGTACTTAGGGACTGGTAGAAGGCATGCATAGTTCCTTTATATAAAGAGAAGGGGGACAAAAGAGATTGTAAAAATTTTAGGAGAAGAAGTTTACTGAGTATACCAGGTAAAGTGTACAGTAGGGATTTTATTGAAAGAATTAGAGGTAAGACAGAGAGTAGGAATGTAGATGAGCAAGGAGGCTTTAGAGTGGGTAGTGGATGTGCAGATCAGATGTTTACATTGAAGCATATATGTGAATAGTATTTAGATAAAGGGAAGTTTTCATTGCATTTATGGATTTAAAAAAGGCATATGATAGTGGATAGGGGAGAATTGTGGCAGATGTCGCAAGTGTATGGAATAGGTAATAAGTTATTAAATGCTGTCAAGAGTTTTTATGAGGACAGCGAGGCTCAGGTTAGGATGTGTGGAAGAGAGAGAGATTACTTTCTGGTAAAAGTAGGTCTTAGACATGGATGTGTAATGTTACCATGGTTGTTTTAATATATTTATAGATGGGGTTGTCTAGGTAGTAGGTTGGTAGACAGCAACCGCCCAGGGAGGTATTACCGTCCTGCCAAGTGAGTGTAAAACGAAAGCCTGTAATTGTTTTACATGATGGTAGGATTGCTGGTGTCTTTTTATTCTGTCTCATACACATGCAAGATTTCAGGTACGTCTTGCTACTTCTACTTACACTTAGGTCACACTTCACATACATGTACAAGCATATATACATGCACCCCTCTGGGTTTTCTTCTATTTTCTTTCTAGTTCTTGTTCTTGTTTGTTTCCTCTTACCTCCATGGGGAGGTGGAACAGAATTCTTCCTCCGTAAGCCATGCGTGTTGTAAGAGGCGACTAAAATGCCAGGAGCAATGGACTAGTAACCCCTTCTCCAGTATATATTACTAAATGTGAAAGGAGAAACTTTCGTTTTTTTCTTTTGGGCCACCCTGCCTTGGTGGGATGCGGCCGGTGTGTTGAAAGAAGAAAAGAGATGGGGTTGTAAAAGGAGTAAATGCTAGGATGTTGGGGAGAGGGGTGGGATTAAATTACAGGGAATCAAATACAAAATGGGAGTTGACGCAGTTACTTTTTGCTGATGATACTTTGCTTTTGGGAGATTCCAAAGAAAGTTGCAAAGGTTAGTGAGTGAGTTTTGGAAGGTGTGTAAAGGTAGAAAGTTGAAAGTGAACATAGATAGGAGGAAGGTGATGGGGGTATCAAATGATTTAGATAAAGAAAATTTATTGTATAACATTGGAGAGAGGGAGTATGGAAGCAGTGAATGTTTTCAGATATTTGGGAGTTGACTTGTCAGCGGATGGGTTTATGAAAGATGAGGTTAACCATAGAATTGATGAAAGAAAAAAGGTGAGTGGTGTGTTGAGGTATCTGTGGAGACAAAAAATGTTATCCATGGAGGGAAAGAAGGGAATGCACTAAAGCATATTGGTAGCAACGCTCATATTGGTGTGAAGCTTGGGTTGTAAATGCTGTGGCGAGGAGGAGGCTGGAGGCAGTGGAGACGTCGTGTCTAAGGGAAGTGTGTGGTGTAAATGTTATGCAGAGAAATTGAAGTGTGGAAATTAGGAGGTGTGGAATTACTAAAAGTATTAGTCAGAGGGCTGAAGAGAGGTTGTTGTGGTGGTTTGGTCATTTAGAAAGAATAGAACTAAGTAGAATGACTTGGAGTGCATTTAAATATGTTAGGAAAGGAAGGCGGGGTAGGGGTCGTCCTCAAGAAGGTTGGATGGAGGGGGTAAAGAAGGTTTTGTGGGTGAGTGGCTTGAACTTCCAACAGTCGTGCATGAGCTTGTTAGATAGGAGTGAATAGAGATGAATGGTTTTTGGGACTTGATGATCTGTTGGAGTGTGAGCGGGGTAATATTTTGTGAAGGGATTCAGGAAAACCAGTTAGCCAGACTTGAGTCCTGGAAATGGGAAGTACAATGCCTGCACTTTAAAGGAGGAGTTTAGGATATTGGCAGTTTGGAGGGACATCTAAACTTTTGCATCTGAGCGCCTCTGCAAAGACAATGATTATGTATGAGTGATGATGGTGAAAGTGTTGAATGATGATGAAAGTGTTTTTCTTTCTTTTTCGGTCACCCTGCCTCAGTGGGAAATGACTGATGTGTTACAAAAAAAAAAAAAGTGCAATGATTTCTGAATAAAATGAGTTATCGTTCTGTATCACCTGGAGGCATTTCCTGCTTGTAAAAGTTGTGTTCTAAGTAGAAAAACTTATTGTAAGGCCAGGTCTTAATATAATTTTTGCTGTTGCTGTTCTTTATGACTTTATTTATATTTTCCAAATGTAAGAATTCTGAAAATCTCATCTCATTTAGATTTGTATCATGTGAAATGTAGTGTACATTTAAGAATTTTGGCACGATCTCATATCATTTAGGCTAGAAATTGTACCAGAATGATTTATTGCAATTTGAAAAAATCATGTATGGTTGTTTGACAATAAATTTACTTAAGGTAAAAGGTAAATAGCAGCTAAGCATAAGAATGCATGAACTCACAGTATTTACACTTTTGAATGTGATACCTACCTTGCAGCAAGCTCCTAGACTTGAGGCCCTTAGTCTACTTGGGTCCTTACTGCCTCTGTCCTTGCTCTACCCGTCCATGCCAGTTCTCCAGCCTTCAGCGGCGGACCTGGCTCTCATGAATTGCTCTGATGTCAAGGTTTGTAACATGCTTTAATTACCATGATATAGGTTTCTTGTTTTTGCATCAACATATTGTTTAAACTGAAAGTAAAATGTTTAATTTAGCATCCCCTCCCTGTATGTAAATTTCTCCCCCTTTATGGAAAACCTATCTCTGTTCTTTCCTGGTGAGTGTCTCCCCACTACAAAACCAAGAAGCAGATTAGGAATGATGAACAAAAATTATGAACTACCTCTAGCAAATTTTAGCCAATTATATGAGCATAATGCATATATATCTCCATGTTGAGAACTAGGAATGGCATATACAGCAGGACCCCCGTATCCACTGGGGTTACATTCCAATAACTTGCTGGAGATAGTAGCGAACCCTGTGTGTAAGTTGTTTTTCATTTACATATGTACCTATTATAAGGTTCAGTTGATAAATTATGCATAGTTAATAAAGAATTAGCACTTTTTCACTGATAGGAAGCAATTCACAGCTTCTCTTAGGCTTTGAAGAATTACCAGTATCACTACTTTTTGACTTCGAGGTCATAATTAAGAAAAATTAAAGGTTATTTTTGGGCCACGGTAAACCACTGATAACTGAAACTGCAGACACTGGACCTGCAGATACGAGGGTCCTACTGTATTTAATGCTGTATACAGTAATCCCCTTTGTGATCACATTAACCCTTTGACTGTTGGTGTTGTATAAATACGTCTTACGAGCCAGTGTTTTTCATGTACAGTGAAACCTTTACTTGCGAGTTTAATCCGTTCCATGACCTTGCTCGCAACTGGATTTGCTCGTTTGCAGAGTCAATTTTCCTCATTTAAATTAAATGAAATGCAATTAATCCGTTCCAGTGGTATTCTGTACTTCAAAAATTTCGCTAATATCAACTCTACGGCTTATTTATCTGTCTCACTTCGTCTAATATGACATAATAAACAATATAAATAACATAGAAACCTGATATATACTCTAAAATGAATAAAATATGTCATTCATGTAGTGGTATGGGCGGTGTCAGCGGTGGATGAGAGTTTGTCTGGAGACCGGGCAAACTACTTCATGAATAATTTCACTAATATCATCTATATGGCTTATTTATATATCACAGTTCATCTAATATGACATAAACAATATAAATAACATAGAAACATGACATATACTCTAGAGTGAATAAAATATGTCATTATGTAACGGGTGGAGACGGCCACAACCACTCCCTCTTTGTTGTGGTAAACACTGCCATCTAGTGACGGATTTTTGAAGCCGTCTATTATTATAATTATTATATGTAGTACAGTATTATTATATATATTATTATTATTATCGGTGGGAGACGGCCGACTTGTTGAAAAAAAAAAAAAAAAATTATTATTATTATTGTTGTATTATATTATTATACTATTATTATATGTATTATTGTTATTATTATTATTATATAAATAATTTGTAATTTTTATTCACACAAAAAATATAAGATTTACTGTTATTCCATATTGCAATAATTTTATAAATAATGTCAACCCATTCATGACTGCATATTGGAATGAACAGTGACGTCATTTGTTTACTCTGAAACAGCCAAGCAATGGACCATTTCTCATAGGTTGAACTCTATTTCAAGGTACTTTTCATGGTGAAAGCAATCAAAATCATATCTATTTCTGTAATATATCTTCCATTGTATCAAATGAGACCAAAAAAAACGACAACACAGCCATGAAAACCATTCAAAATTACTGCTAAGGGGTGGCTAATTGCTGAGAAGTGAACTCCATTATTTATGCTTAGATTTTTTTCATTTTTGGTGTACGTTAAGAAGCATCTTTCCATCACACATTGCTCAAGTTTCAATAAGATAGTTCAACAAACAAATGAGATACAATTCCCGAGATAAAGAGCAAGAGCTCCTCACCAGTATCAAGGAACCTGCCTTGAGGTCTGCTCGCTTGTGGAAATTTTGCTCATGTATGGAAGCAAAAAATTGACCCATCAACTGCTCGTATTTGGAAAAACTTGCACCTGGACACGCTCGCAAGTAGAGGTTCCACTGTATTAATACGCCAAAATTCTAGCGGCTTCAAATCAAGCGGGAGAAAGCTGGTAGGGCCACTTGTGAGAGAATGGGTCTCTGTGGTCAGTGTGCACGGTATAAAAAGAATCCTGCAGCATGCAGTGCATGATGAGAAAAAAAAATTTCAACCATGTTTTTGGATTAAAATACTGAGTTTGAGGTGTATTTTTGTATTGTATTTATGGTTGTATTCTCGTTTTCTTGGTCTCATTTGATAGAATGGAAGACATTTTTGATTCGTTTCATGATGAAAAGGACCTTGAAATTGAGCTCAAAGTATTGGAAATGTTCGATTTTCACCGATGTTCAAGAGTAAACAAATGATGTCACCGTCCAGTACATGTCCAACTAGCCATTCTAATACACAGTCACGAATGAGCTGACATTATTTATAAAATTGTTATAATAATGCAGTAGTCTGCATAACAATAAATCTTCTATTTTTTGTGTGAATAAAAATTCAAAATGGAAAGCAAAAGTAATATAAGAGGAGCCTGGAGATGTGACTAATGAACAGAGAAAATGTTATTTTAGTGCCATGAATGTCTGCAGTGTTTATTCTGGACTCTATTTTGAAATTGGCATCTTTTTGAATTTGCGTGAAATTGATCAAATTGCCAGTTTCTGACCACTTCATTGGGTACTTGAAATTGGTAAAGGGGGGGTTTCTTATACTCAATCGATAGAACAAATGGAGTTCTTTATTTACTTTATTTACTACAAGTACATGTACATGGTATACAGACCTAGCTGACAGCAATGACATACTACTATATAGAAAGCCTCTTGTTATGCTCAGCATGTTGGGCAAATTAGGTCAGTGTCCCAGGATGCTACCCACGCCAGTCGACTTACACCCAGGTACCTATTTTACTGATGGGAAACATAGACAACAGGTGGAAAGAAACATGCCCAATGTTTCTACTCTGGCTGGGAATCGAACCCAGGCCCTCGCCGTGTGAAGCGAGAGCGTTAGCCACCAGGCCACCAGAGCCCGTAGAAATAGCTATGAGCTTGGTCGACTGGAACAGTGGAATTGGTCGAAAATAGGGCTCAAACTGGGCGAAATCACCTATGCATATTCAGTGGTACCTCGGTATATGTCCGCTTTAGAAAAAGTCCAACTTGGTATACGACCTGTTTGGACTTGAAAATTTTTGCTTGGTATACGACCTTTGTTTGGAATATGACTCGACTTCTTCACTATAAAGTTTCTCCCCAACACGATTCCTCTCATTCAACCCATGGGTCAGCAGGTCATCAGTAATTTCAAGAAACTCTGCGCTAAAGCACTATTCCAGACGTATACTTTGAAGTGACCTCTGACACAAGAGTTAGCCCTGAGAGAGTTTTGGAAAGATCACTTTACTATCGCCCATTGCATAGCTCTCATTGGCAAAGCCTGGCAGGAAGTTTCATACAGAACAATGAACACTGCTTGGAGGAATTTGTGGCCAGAAGCAGTGGCTGAAAGGGACTTTGAGGGCCTTGAGGCTCTGTCTGTAGTGGAGGATATTGTCTCTCTGGGCAGGTCCATGGGTCTGGATGTGAGTGATGGTGATGTGGAGTTAGTGGAGGGGCACAGGGAAGAGCTCACCACTGAGGAGCTGCAGGAACTTGGGAAGGAGGAGCACAAGACTAAGATGGATACACTCTCTTCACTCTTGGAAGAGGAGATAGAGGAAGCCCATACTTCATGAATCAATGAAATCTTTGCCAAATTGATGGATGTCAAAAACTTTACAGAGAAGTACCACCCCAACAAAGCCCAAACAAGCCATAATAGCATTGTCTGGAATGACCAGACAGTGTCACATTTCCAAAATATCCTGCGGAGAATGGAGAAGCAAAGTTCTTTGGACAGATTTTTAGTAAAAGTCAAACCTGGTGAGCTTCAACCAGGTACAAATAAGAAAAAGAGAAAGGGACTCTCATTCCAAATAGTAACATTTCCTTCTCCTCCCTTCTCAGCACTATCCTAGTAGGCACTTGACTCTTTTTAAACAAAGTAAAGTGAGGTTAAATTTGCATTTATTTCATCTAATTCTTTTGTATTTATGTATGTATTTTAGTATTAAGCAGTTTAAATTACACATTTTAGTATTAAGCAGTGTTTAAATTATATTATACAACCCCATCAATGTACAACATGCCAATAACAATAGGATTTTTTTTTTCATGGGAATGGATTACGTAATTGTTTTCCCAATATTTCTTATGGGAAAATTCGTTTCGTATACGTCCTTTTTGGTACAAGTCCCATGGTCCTGGAACAAATTAAGGACATATACCGAGGCACCACTGTATATTGCTGAGACCACTAACTTCACGAGAGCATTCCATAAGTTTTCCATCAAATTTTGTACTTTTGTTGTCATTACCATCGGGAAAAGATTCTCTGTTTCGTAAGAAAAGATAATTTTTTTTTTTTAATATTTTGGGACACAGTGAGACACTTCAAGGTTTGGGGTCTCAGCAGCCAAAGGGTTAAGGAACGTACATGCATAGTCAGAATTTGTATCTTATTTGCCCACATCTTGTAGTGCTTCTCATTAGTTTCTTCAGCCTTCCCTCTCCTCCTCCTTCCCTTCCAAAAGTTCTACATTGCTTGACCAGTTTTTATTCCTTCCTCAAAAAAAAATAGTAGTAGTAGTAGTAGTCCACCTCCTCATATGCCAAAAAATCATATGCAGAAAATCTTTCTTCTTTCAACACACCGGCCGTATCCCACCGAGGTGGGGTGGCCCAAAAGGAAAAACGAAAGTTTCTCCTTTTACATTTAGTAATATATACAGGAGAAGAGGTTACTAGCTCCTTGCTCCCGGCATTTTAGTCGCCTCTTACAACACGCATGGCTTACGGAGGAAGAATTCTGTTCCACTTCCCCATGGAGGTAAGAGGAAATAAACAAGAACAAGAACTAGAAAGAAAATAGAAGAAA